TCTTTCCGGGCTCTGCCAGTTTAATTAAGATATGGAAAATTACTTATTGTTCTTCGCCACTAAAGTGCTCGGAATTAACAGGCGGATGTGGCGCCCGGGCCTTTCATATCTGCGCTGTGTATGTTTGTTTAATACCCGTAAGACGCCGTCATTAAAGCGCAGGCACGAGTTGGGCCTTTCGCACCAGCCCCCTGCCAGCCCCTGCAACCGAGGCACCGATGGTGACCGCCAGTGGCTTTGACCGGAGCTCCGGGCGAGCTCTGAACACCAGCCACGGCCTCCTGTCTGCCTTCTGTCACGGTAGGGGCAGGACAGGGCAGAGGCTGCGAGTGGACACTCTCCCGCCTGCAGGGTATGGAAATTTGCAGCTCTCTCTGAAGGGCGGCGCTCCGTCCCTCCCGTGGGTCACCGCTGTGCTTTTCTTTCAGGAAGTTTTGCTCAAGAGGGCGGCCGACCTCGTGGAAGCTTTATACGGGATGCCCCATAACAACCAGGTAGGCGATGGCGCTGGCCACGCCAGCCCTGCCCTGTGGCCTGGGCACAACGGCTGCCTGAGCGCCGGGTGTGAGAAAGCCTCCCTGGCTTGTGGGTGCCCCATGCCAACTGCAGGAGAGGAGGACAGGCCAGGGTCAGGGACCGGAAGCAGAACTTGTCACGGGAAAGCGGACCCCTTGACATCCACCCAGTGGGCTCAGGGGCCGGGTGCAGGGGTACGGGGCCTGTTGGGGTGGTGGGACTCAGCCGGGACTCATAGCAGAGTCCGTGCACGCTGGGGCCTGTGGCTGCAGGTGCGGCACACGGATGTCGTGCCGTCCCAGAAGCACCTTTCAGTTATTTTCCCAAGGGAATTTCAGTCCCCATTGAAAAGAACATTCGTCCCAGTCTGCTCCAAGCCCTGGCGCACTGCTGTTGGCCTGGTGGTCTGGTGGAGGGGCCTGTGCTGGGCGGGGCCGGGGGCAGGTGCCGTCCTGGGGCTGGCTCCCTGGGGACAGGAGCTTCCTGCAGAGCCTGGCTGCTGGTGACGGGCGCCCCTTCCGCCCCAGGAGATCATCCTGAAGCGGGCGGCTGACATCGCAGAGGCGTTGTACAGCGTCCCTCGCAATCACAACCAGATCCCCACGCTGGGCAACACCCCCGCGCACACGGGCATGATGGGCGTGAACTCCTTCAGCAGCCAGCTGGCTGTGAACGTGTCGGAGACGTCGCAAGCCAACGACCAAGGTAGGCGGCTGGGTGGGGCACACCCCTGCCCTGATCCCCTGCCCTGTCCCCCAGCGTGGGGCGGGTGAGGCTTGGCTACAGCTAGCTTGCCCCGAGTCCAGCGGGGTTGTGGACAGCACTTGGCCTCGGTGGCTCTGCCCACAACTACCGTGCAGAAAGCAGAGGACCCAGAACCCATTAGCAGCCGCGTCAGCTTCCACTCAGGTTATGGTGTTTGCTAGACGTTTATTTGTAAGCAACTCGGCTTTCCTGAAAGGCTGGGGTGAGCCATAGGGCAGCGGTGACCTGGTCAGCCGGTGGGACCCTCCTTGGGTGTGCTGTGTGGGCGGGGCTTGAACAGATGTGAAGAAATGCCTGCCTCTCCCACCCGGGGCAGCTGGGGGGGGGAGGCGCAGCACCTACTATGAGTCAATTCCTTGAGTCCATTTCAGGTCCCCTTTGAACACACCTGGGCAGGTAGCAATCCCAGAGACAGTGCAGCGGTGCAGCTGGGCCTGCATGCACGCACACCCCTCGCGGGAGGGCAGCGCTGCCCCTCCCCCCTCCCCACTTAAGAGTAAGAGCAGTCTGGAAATGAAGACCCCTGAACAGCCTTTCATGGGGCATTATGGCCACAAACAAGCCGTCTCTGTCAGCCATGGCATTTGAAGGTCTGCAGAGGTGGAAAGTTCACCTAGTGGGGGGCAGACTGGGAGTCCAGGCTGCTGGTAATTGCTCCTAAAGAGAACCGTAGGAGCCGCTGACGGCCAGATCGAAGCCGGGCTGGCAGACACAGGCCGGGCCCGGCAAAGACAGGCGCAGGGGTTGGCGTGACGAGGTTGGCGGAGCTGCCAGGGTGCAGGGGCTTCCGTGCAGCGTGAGGTCAATACAAATGTTTCCTCTAGGATAGAGGTTTGCGGGGAAACCCCCCCCAAGTGTCTCTCCCTGATAATAATGTTATTTTTGGCCGGGGGGGGATTTTAACAGTCGGCTACAGTCGCAATACGAGCAGCGTGTCCCCGCGAGGCTACGCGCCCAGCAGTACCCCCCAGCAGTCCAATTACAACACAGTCAGCACTAGCATGAATGGATATGGAAGTGGCGCCATGGCCAATCTAGGGGTCCCTGGCTCGCCTGGATTTCTTAATGGCTCCTCCGCTAACTCTCCCTACGGCAGTAAGTGTCTGTTTTTGTCACACGTCATCACACAGATTCATTTTCACTGCAAAGTCAAATGTGTGCCTTGCTTGGATGTTCTGTGATGTGAGCTACTGGACACAAGGAAGGGTGGCTGTGGAGGCTGGGCACCCGCGTGGCGACAGTAAAGTGACCGCCCACGGGCCCCGCGAGACCCAATCGGAACGGAGCGGGGCCGCCCCATTGGAGCCCAGTCTGACACGCGCGTGTGCCTGTTGCCCAGAGAGGGGCCACGCCAGAGACGTGGCGCGCTCGTGCCGCGGCCCCCGGCGGGCTCCCTGCGCCGTGCCGCCCGCACGCGCCGCGCGTCCTGACCGTGTTTGCTTTGTTGCAGTAGTGCCGTCCAGCCCCACCATGGCAGCCTCTTCGGTCACCCTCCCTTCAAACTGTAGCGGTGCGCACGGCATTTTCTCATTCTCACCTGCCAATGTCATCTCCGCAGTGAAACAAAAGAGCGCGTTTGCGCCCGTGGTCCGGCCGCAAGCTTCTCCTCCTCCTTCCTGCACCAGCGCCAACGGGAACGGGCTCCAAGGTGAGGGGTGCGTGCGGCCAGAGGCCGGGCCGGGGAGGGGGGGGTGCTCCTGGTGTCCTGGCGGGACTGTCCCCAGTGGCCTCCGGGGGGCAGGCCGGGCCCCACCACTGGGGGTGGAGGCCAGTGCTGGGCGTGTCCCTGGGGGCGGGGGCTCTGGCCCCGCCTTTGGGCACCTTCTCTGAGTCCGTGCATGCTCCCTGTGTCCACCAGGAAGCAGCCCCGCCCCCCCCCACTCATGGAGATGACTCCCACATTCTTCCTCTTGGGTGAGGAGGGCCCGTCCTCAGCCTCCCAACAGAGCCCGAGCGCCCTCGTGGTGCCGGCGCCACGTGGGGCGGAGCAGGCGTGTGGTTGGTGGAGCAGGGTCTGCGCTCAGCCCCTTTCTGCAGCCTGGCCTCCAGGGCCGGGGCTCCCACAGCCCGAGCCCCGGGGTGGTAGCCTGCTGATGCCCGAGGCAGCAGAGTCGCCCAGGACGGGGACGAAGGGCCTCGTGCTGCCCGCGGGCCCATCTCAAAGCAGCCTGCCCTCCTTTGCTGGGGGTACCAGACCAGGGGCCCGCCCGCCGTCCCTGGGGAGGGCAGCGGACCCAGGCCCCTGGCGCTCGCCCAGGGCTGGTCCCTCTGGGTCCCCCTGGGCAGCGGCTGTGCTGGGCAGCAGGCAGGGCCACGTGAGTGCCCCAGCTTGCACGAGGCTCTCAGGATGCCCTGAGGCCCACAGGCACTGAGAGTAAGTGGCCGTCATCTGGCCTCTTTCAGACACCTTTGGTATATGCTCCTCCTGGTGAAAAACAAACCCAGTAACTCCTTTAAACACATGAATCCGTTCCACCAGTATTTACTGAGCGCCTACTATGTGCCAGGCTCTCTGCTGAGTGCTGAGGACGCTACCGTGGAGAAGACAAACTGGCCCTTTTGTGAAGTCGGTGGCATATTTCACTTTGATGAACTAATGCTCAAAAAAGGAACTGGAAAGGTATCAGTGATTTGAAATAATTGTCTTCACCACCTCTGTCAGTGTGTGCGGGGGACGCCCAGGCCCCCGGGCACTGCCGCTGGGCCCCTGGCTGGCAGCGGCCACCGGCCCAGAGCCGCTTCCCAGGCCAGTGCCTCGGCCCGTCCGCCGCCCGAGCAGTGCCGGGGCCGGTGACAGCTTAGGGCCACACGGCCGTGGGCACACGCATGGGGCCTCCAGACCCTAGCGTTGTAACGGTGAGTCGGGGATAAATTAGTAGTGTTGAAATTAATGAGCTGAGAAATTGAAGCCCGCGTCACTGCACGAACAGACGTATTAATGGGTTACACATAATTAACAAGGACCATCCTTCTGACAAAAGCCAAACAACACTAAAGTAAAAGATTGTAAGCTACATCCGCGCCAGGACCCCACCGGACGGCGTGCCCGGCACTGGGCTCTCTCTCTCGTTCTGAGAAGAGAAAAAACAGCTCCCCGAGGCCCAGCTGTGACTCGGTCTCCTTGGGGCCCCCCCTCCCCCGGCCTGGAGGGGGCAGCGCAGGGGGCTGTGCAGCGGCTTTGACCGTGGAGGGCCTGCGACTCACCTTTACGATACTGAGTGACCCGCAGAGGGGAGATGGAGGCGTGTGCAGCTGGCACCTAGGGAGAGAGGGCAGGTTGGATCGTGTCTGTGGGCAGAGTGGCCCCTGGGGAGTCTGGGCCTCCATCTGCCGCACACAAGCCACTGAGGGGTGTGGGAAGCTCTGCCTTCCCGTGCAGAAGGGCCAGCCGCAGGAGCCTCCCAGGCGGGCCGCGGGGCTCCGTCCCATGGTGCACCCCATCCCCGAAAGTAGGTCCCCCGGGCCGTACCCACGGCCGAGGCTGGTTACTGGAGGGCCGTGCGGAGACCCAGGGAGGAAAGAAAGCACACAGAGAAGGCCGGGCCCGCCCCGCCTGCCCCGCCCGGCCCGCCCGGTAACCGGCCCGTCTCTCTCTTGCAGCTATGTCTGGGCTGGTAGTCCCGCCAATGTGAGGGGCCTTTGTTTACCTTCCGCAGCGCCCAGCATCCCGGGACGGACTTCAGGGGACGCGTTTCGTGTACTGAGACACGCGGGTGAAGGCAGCATCTTCAAATACGTCGGCAGCCGTCGAAGTGCGACGAGAGACTTGGTTTAAAGATTTTATTTAAACTGTTAAGAACCGACATGCAAACAGCCTACTTCCTCATGAACAATTCCATTTTACTGACCGAACTTTTCCCACATTTTCACACTTGTCAGTCCTGGAGAACAAGGAAAGCAAAGCGACGCCTATTTTGTACCGAGTTTCTGACCCCGTCTTGGCCCTGTCTAGTCCCTGCTGTGTGTGGGGAGGAGCTTTGTGAGTGCCCCATTCCGGCTGTCGCGGGACGCTGGCGAATACGCTTCCACACATTTCCCTGTGCTCGTCCTTAGATTCACAACGGTTGTGCATTCTCTATAATGTGAAATATTTTTTTGTGGTGAACAAGGGGGCCAAGGAGGTATGAGCCATCGGACTGGAAGAGAGGATGACTATACGGTTAGGATCTGGGGTGGCGGGGGGGAGGGCGGGCTTACCATTGCTTACCTTCATCTTAATGAAATGGAACTTTGTAACTTATTGTAGTTAGAAATTGTAACTTTGATATTGAACTCTCTTGCCTTCAACAAGCACACTGACAGAGGGAAAAAATGCTACTGTCTGTTGGTTAAAATATTCTTTCACTGCTAGAGCTTCCTGTTACGCAAGCGTGATCTGCGACATCTTTTCCACTTTTGCTAGTACTGTATACGATTGCAATCTTAGGCTACTGTGAGGTCCATGTTTCTTGTACCAGAAATTGTCCTTTCGACTTCTAGATCCTTCTTCCCTAATGTGTTTTGTATGTGGTTATAAAATTGTAGACTTTTGTGATTTTGCCAAAGTTGTAGCTAAATATTTATACACTTGTCTTGAATTTTTTTCAGATTCACTTAAATATTTAGGAAAAAAAAACCAAGTTTTATTCCTTATGTGTCTTATAAGGAATAAAATGGTCTCATTCAACACTTTTCCATGAACACTTGCAGTTGCTGAGGGACTTTATTTTGTAACATATCAATTATAAATATTGTATTTATCGTCGGAGATTTTGTACATTGCTTTTCCCGCCACCTTCTTTTCCTTTTGCCTCGTCCGCGTTGGCCTTGGGTCACGGCCTGGTGTCGCGGTGCTGGGAGGCGCGTCCAAGGACCGTCTCTTTCATCTGTTTCGTCAAAATGAACCAGTGTCACTGCTTTCATTTGTACGTAAGACATTTGCTATTGTTTAGACTTTCCATCCTTTTTTTTTTATTTTGAGGAAAAGTCAAATTCATTGTTTATTTTTATATTATTTTTAAGTTATCTGAACAAATACTTTTGAAGAAACACTTCGTTGTATAGTCGAAGCGGAACGGTGCCGTGCCGGTTCCGAGTAGAGCCCGTGCATGTGGGGCGGCCGAGAGCAGGCAGCACTGTTTGGGGCTGTGTCCTCATTTCATTTTATCTTTTGGTAGAATGTAAAGAAGTCATTTTAGCTGCCACCCATGACTTTTGCCACATAGCTGAACTGTGTTTACTGGAAAAATTCAGAGGCCTAAAGTTTAAAATAAAATTTACTTCTGATGTTTTAATTAAAATGTCTGCCACATGAACTTTTCTGATGCCTTAAAAGTGGACTTCTCCCCAGAACCTTTGTGCTGTTGGTCCCCAGGCCTGCACCGCAGCTGCGAACCCGCTCGCGCTGGGAGCGATGCAGAGCGCGCACACACATGCACACGCACACACAGACACACACACACAAAAGCACAAACCTGGTAACTCCCGTGTGGCCCCGAGCCTCTGCGTCAGATGCTGCTGCGTTCTGCCGCCCCACCTTGCTCCGCTGTCCTACCCTCCCCAGAGGGGTGGGGGGTTGAAAATGGCCCCGGCTTTCCTTTTTTTTTTTTTGTGAACGATACTTTTGTGTGGGGTCGGGCTGCATAGTGCGGCTGCCCCTGTGGCGCCGGGGCCCCGCTCCTGCCAAACCTGCTGCGAGGCCAGGAGGGGCTGCGTTTTCTCCCCTTTGTGTTCCTTGCCCTGCAGACGTGGCAAATGCCAGGCAAGCTGCAGCAGACATCAAATTGAAAACAAAAAGGAGGGACTTTTAAAACATGTTCTTGACAAAAAGCAAAACGATGCACAACTTAGAAGAGTGTTCCCTCCAGGGACTAAGTAAACAGAGTGTCCCCAGTGGTCAGCAGGCCCCGCGTTGGCCCCGAGTGGCTGGGGGGGCTTAGCTCCGTGGAAAAGGAAGTGACCCTGCAGCTCAGTTGCTCCGCTTCATTCTGTGTTGGTTGGGGGCTGGGCCGGGAACGCGCCCCCGCTGGCCAGGCGCTCACCTGCCCTCCATCTGTGTCCAGAGCAGTCAGTCAACGCCTCACCGTCTCAGAACCGAGTGCTTCACTAAATGGTAGAGTTTGCTGTTAAAGACCCTACGATAAGATTGTTTTATCTGTACATTTTTTCAGATATTTAACTGTATAAAAATGTTCATTTTACACAATATTTAATTAAAGTATTTCTTGTCTGTGAATTTCACTCTGGGTGATTTCATGTCTTGATTACCAGCACGACGGGCCGGAAACGCGTGTGGCGGTCCCAGCAGGGACGGTGTCGATGCGCCTTGGGTTCGAGAGCCGCCTCTGGGCCGGGACAGGGTGACTCGCACAAAAACCTCCCGCAAAGGGACCGATCGCAAACACTAGCCGAGCCTGCAGAGAGAGATTCTTGCAGTGACTTAGACGGCTCTGGTCCCTGAGGGGCTACGTGTGTTTGTGGCCCATCTGCCAGATGTGGGCGCAGCCACAAGGGGGACTTACACAATCGCCAGGCCCCCCGGGGGGGGGGCAGTGGGGTGAGGTGCCCTGCTCCCCAGCCCCTCTGCTTCTGAACTGCAGGTTTGGCAGGTGGAGAGCAAATACTCTTTTGCTTCCCATCACGGGCTCTACCAGGGCAAAAAACGGCTCCTGGGAGCACAGGGGGCCCCTCGGGCAGACCGCAGGGCAGCAAGCATCGGTGCCGGCCGAAGTCTGGCCCGAGGGACACCGTGCCAGCCCTGACTGCAGGTCACACCAGACCCCACGCACTGCGGGGACCACCGTGGGCGCCACGGCAGTCACAGCCGCCAGCCGCACCGGGGGGCCTGGTCTGCACGCTGGTGCCGGCTGCAGCCTGCTCGCTCCCACGCTCCGCCCCGTCCCGCCGTTCCCAGCTCCTCCTCGGTGACAGGCTGCCGGCATGTTTTGGCTCTCGCTGTCACACGTGCACACAAGTGTGATCCAAATTAGCGCTCACAAATGTCCTCTTAATTACTTGTGCTGCTGAGCAAAACAGGAAACAATTACTCAAAACATAAAGAAACTCGTGACTCCCTCCTCCGCCCGACGGCGGTCGGGTTCCCGCGACTGCCAGCCTGTTGCAGCCTTCCAGAGACAGCGGTCGGGGCTCCCCTGCCCCCCTCCCCAGGCGCCCTTGGAGGCTCGGGGCACGCTCCCCCGCCTCCCTGCTCTCTGGGCCAGGAGCACCAGCTCAGGGAGGGGCCGGGCCCTGCAACCTGGGGAGACCGCAAGGGTTGCACGTTTGAATTTCGGCCGAGAGGCAAGCAGCACCTGCTCTCTCTGCACTCTCGAGTGCCAATTATCACCAGCCCCCTTTTAAGGTCTTTCAAGCTTTTAAAGATTATTCAAAGCACTTGAAATGGGCTTCAATCTAATGCCTCATTTCATTGCATTAAACAGCCTAGTTAATAAAGAATCGATATATTCAAAGGGCAAGGTTATCTTTTGTCTATAAGGGGTGGTGTCATTCTGAACCTTTTATAGTTCAAATGCTGAAAAAGACCTCATGAAATCCATACTCATCAAGTGGGTCAACAAGAGCAGCTCGGAGGCCTCCGAAAGGGGAGGCCGCCCCCTCGGAAACCGCACCAGCCCCGATCGCCGCGCCCTGGGCGCCCCAACCAGGCCTCGGAAAACGTCCATTGCTTGCCGTGATGACGAAGACGGGCCGCAACGATCCATTTTTGCAGAGAATACACACAGCTGGGAGAAGGCAGCGAGGCGGGGTGGGCAGCGCTGGGAGCTGCGGCCCCACTAGCCGCTCCCTCCCGCAGACAATAAGGGCTGGGGTGCCCGGTGTCAATACGCCCCGGAGCGGTTTCTGAATGCGAGTCCTTGCGCTCCGAGCCCCCGCCGATCCCGGGGATGATAAGGGCGCAGCTGCGGCGGACACCGGGCAGGCCTCACAATTAACGCCGTGAATAAATCACACAAAGGAGTCGGGCCGCTTTGGACTCGGTGAGACAATCCCCCGTTTCACCCTTCAAGGATTCCTTTTATGTCGGAATAAGGTTGCTTTTAATGAAATTTAAACTCATCAGAGGAAATCAAAAACCTCCAATCAGATTACAAATTGATTTTTTGGTCATTTGTCATTTCCCAGTGTGGAGCCGCAGGTTTCATGGGGAGCTGGTGTGCACGCAGCCCCCAGCCCGGCCTGGGGGTGCACCGGCGCAGTGCCTGCCCCCCCCACACACACTCAGAGGCAGTCCTGACCCTGTCCCCCCCCCCCCCACCAGGCTGGTTTCGGAAAAGTGGGCCCACCTGGAATGGGTGCCGTTCGGCTCTGAATCCAGCAGAGAGTCGTTCTCTTGCAATCGTGGTGAGCTTTGGTTCGAACCCACGCCCTGAAGCTGCCCAGTGCCACACCCCCACGGAGCCACGCAGAGCCACTCGGAGCCCCAGGCGGCCTGCTTGGAGCTTACGATCTGGCTCGGCGAGGAAACGTGGCCAGCTCCTGCTCAGTCCTGCGGTCTCAGCACAAGTGCTCGCCCCTTTGTGGACCCGTTCTGCCCGCCAGGCAATGGAGGGGACCTTCCCCTCACTCCCACCCCATGTGGGGGCCATCTAGGGCCACCAGCCACCAGCCACCAGCCTCCTGGGGTTCTCCCCACACACTTGGATGGACTTGAGCTTGAGGACAAGGTTCCGCCAGGCCCTCCTCTCCATCTGCCCTGCATCCTGGGCACCCGGTCCAGGCTGAAGGGTCCTGCCAAGTATCCAGACTGGGCCTGGAAGAGCACCTCATCCCTCCTGGGAAGACTGGCACTGGGGGCAGAAGCAGGAGGGAAGCAATGTCCCTTCTGACTCAAGATCGCCCGAGACCGCCTTCTAAAACACAGTCTCTGAAGCAAGCGAATCTCCTACGCTATTCCATGCAGCGAAAGAGTGCAGTGCCTCGCCTACCCCCGCAGGCCCGAACGGGGGGCATGTCGGGCACCGGGGTCCCATCATCACTGGGGGCCGTCCCAGGAGCTCAGCTGCAGCTGGCTCCCCGCCCCCAGGTGACAGAACTGCAGCTGGGAGAGGGGCGGGACCAGCCCAGGCCAGAGGACTGGTGGGACCAGGCCGGCGCCACGTGGAGCCTCCTCCTGTGAGCTCCAGGTCCTCCCCAGGGACGGTGGCCTCAGGCCGTCATGTTCTGAGGAGACAGACCACCTGGACGAAGCAGGAGCCGCAGCTCCCGGGCCGGTTCTAGCCGAGCTTGGGGCCCACACATGGCACATGGGGCCTGACTCGGCCGGGCCACCCGGACAGGCTGCAGGGTGGAAACTGGCCTGTCCAGTGACATCAGCGGGGGCCCAGGGGCTCCCTTCAGGGCACAGCCACTGTCACAGGTCCGCCACCCCACAGCCCAAGTTTACTGCCCCCGCAAAACACCAGGAGACATGGAAGGAGCCGCTGTTCCTGGTGGCAAGATGCCCGTGGGGACAGGGCGCCTCAAAGAAGGCGGGTGACGAGGGTCCCGGGCTGAATAGGCTGCCATGACGTCAGGGACACGGAAGGCCCACCCACTGGCCAGACCCCTTCCGCCTCTGGGAGGACAGGGCCGGACAGCTCACTCACGTGACGGGCGGGTGACGACACTGAGACCAGGCCTGAAACTGGAGCAAGCACCTCACTGCCTCCGTGCGCCACGGCTGCGGGCCCGGGGGACCCAGGCTGGGCCCCTGGGAGAGGACCTGCCGCGACGGCAGCTGCGGGCCCCACGCTCCGCGTGGCGCGGGTCTGCGCGTCGGTGAGACGGGACGGACCCCTGAGCAAAGGGCACGTTCGCAGCCGCTTCTGTGGGACAGTGTGAGCGATCGATCAGTTTGGAAACACATTCGAGCTCACTCGGAACACCTATCAGATCAAAGTAACGAGACGTTTATTTGTCACTCATTAAATTAGAAAGGACTTTTCTTAAAAGCTGCCATCCGCCCCGCTGATGGAAGTGAGGGCCTCCCCACGGCCGTGGGCAGGGGCTGGGGCGGTCTGGCCCTCTCGGGGGTCAGTCTGCAGTCCTGCGGGGAGGCCTGGCCACGCTCATCCCCTCTGACCCGCCATCTCCACTCTCGGCCTCGACCTTGAGCAGATACTCGGAGGTCAGACAGGACGGTGGGCACGAGATCACTCGCTGCTGTATATTTATTTAAAAAACTGAAAAGCACCCAACTGTCTATAACCAGGAGTAATTAACTGAATCAGGGTATAGCCACACAACAGAATATTGTCTATTCTCTTAAGTTATTAAGATCCCATTTTTGAAGCATTTTTAACAAAACAGTAAAACACTAATGACATAAAATCCAGTGAAGCAAGTGTCCGCAACTGCAAAAATAGTGTAATTCTTATTGGTATTCCATGTAGAGAGAAAGCAAGAAAGAACAAAAACACATTCATTTGGAAAAGTGCTAGTGAGCATTACAGCAATGTGGTGGATGCGTACACGGGACACACGCGTGTCCCACGTTGTCCGTGGAGTGCCCTGTGCCCGGGAGCAGAGCGGCCCACCATGTGCCAGACCCCCCGCCCTGTCTCTTGTCACAGCCCCCAGGGTGGGGCACCTCCTTCAGGGCCAAGTAGACGGTCTGGGCCCAGGGGTCCCCAGGAGCTGCTGCTTCGAGGTCACATGGGAGCAGAGAGAGATGCCCGTGGTGGGAGGTCAGAGGCCAGGCGGATGGGATGGTGGGGGGGACGTGAGAGGCTCGGGGCCCAGGGCCGCGGGGCCCGAGGGAGACCGTCCGGCACACGGTCCGTGAGGAGCCTCCCGCCGCCTTCCCAGCGCCCCTCGGGCCTGACACGCCACTTTTATCTGAACTTCCGTGACGGGATTTCTGCTCCTTGCAAACAAATAATTACGGAATTAGGAGAAAATTATTTTAAAATTAGTGTTGTAAAAAAATCCAAAATGACCCACAGAGTGTTAAATTTAGTAAGGGACATTTAGCAAGACTGATGAATACGGGGTCGACATGCCACCGTATCTCGGTAACTGTCGTGACCAGTTGGTGGAACTGTAAAACCCACACCATTTACAGTAGTGTAAACCACACCAGACGCCTGGGAAGAAAGCCGCCACACTGTGTCGCACATGTGCACAGGGGGCCGCACAACTGTCCCGGAGAAAATGTAACAGTCTTACTCAGTGGAGCACACGCCATATTCAGGGTTGGAAAACCACAGGGAAAAGACACCAGTTCTCCCTAGAATGAATGA